TACTTTTTCAAATTATTTTTTATTTTCTAAATCTATTTAATTATTTATTTATTTATTCATCTATTTATTTGGTCTCTTGTTTAAGATTTTTTTTCTTTTTTTGGGGGGGAGGGGTCCTTGCAAAAGAGGAAAGTTAAAGTTATTGGGTTGTTTTTATTTTTTGGTTGATTATTTTTACCGCAATAATTTTCAGAAAAGCCGCGAGTCGAAGTTCGAGAACTCGTCTGGCAAGTTTGGAAAGCAAACAGGAAGTTCGAGGTGGTCGTCACCGTCTCAAGTCTCAAGTCTCAAGCTGCAATAAAAAAAAGATGTCTGAAGCTGTGTAGCCAGACTTTCACTTGTCGCTACCGGTTTCTTGACCCTTTCAAGTTACTGTGCGTGTTGAAATAGTGCAGTTGCTGACTTGCAACACCGAAGAAAACTTGATTTTTTCAAAATATCCAGTCAAATTTGCACCACGGATGAAAAGGTATACAACACTAACTATTCTACTGGCCCTGGGCCTGGGCCCTACAAAATCCTAAAATAGTAAATTCCTAAATCTAGTTCTAGGTGAGGCAGGCTAGGGCCTCCTCCTACTCCTACGGAAAGACCGGGAGGAATTCCGTTACGAGCAATCACTCGCCCTATACTACTAGCTATACAGGACTGTGAAATAGAGATAGAGGGTCAGGTTAGTGTTTGGGCTGGGGTTTGGGTTTCCTGCCCTAAGCCCTAACCTAAGCCAAGGCCTAGCCTAGCCTAAGGCAAGGAGGGTCTGTTATGTTTGTTGGGGTGCTCGCAATGGAAATGGAAGTCCTTCTGCAAGGCCTAACCTAGGTTTGGACTGTTTAGAACGTTCTTCTTCGAGCTAGGCTAAGGTTATGTCAGGAGGCTGGGTTGACTCCACGGCACTGGAACTTGGAAGTTTGTAAGTCTTGTATCGAGCGATCATCCCTACAAACACAAATTATGACATGGAGAACGTCGTAATGGAATTCCTCCCACTCCACTACGGCCCAGCCCCATGCCCATAGCCATATTTAACACTTTTCACCCCCGCAGCGCGCACCACGGACCAGGATACAGATGTGGTACAAGTAACAAGCTATAGCACCCCGTCGCCGATCGGCGTACCTTGGGGAAAAGGGACGGCTTCTTACCGTCATCGATCGGCGTCCCGTTGAGAAAAGGGAGGGCTTCTTACCGTTGCCGATCGACGTACCGTGGGGAAAAGGGAGGGCTTCTTACCGTCGCCGATCGGCGTCCCGTGGGGGCGTAGTGTTAAGACTGCACATTAGAGACACTATTGTCAAGGAAGAGTAGAGAGGCAACAACAGAAGGAAGCCTGTTACGCTGAACCCATGCATAAAGTCTAAAAGTATAGATCCATATTAAAATGGGTGTGTGTGAATTCTGGAGTTCAAAATTTTTAATTTAAAAGGCATGTTACACGTTTCAATTATAAATTATGACTTTAACTTTACTTTAGAATTTATGTTTTTCTCATACTTTTTCTTGACCGTAAAGAGAGGGTAGGCAAAGCTTGGGTCAGAGGTAGATTTACGTCTTTGAACCGTAAAATTTCTTTCTTCACTTCTGTTAACTGCACAAGTGAACTGTTCTTGCTCTTACGTTGCACTGCTCTCTCTTTTTTGGGATGAATGTACTTAATTTAAAAACTCAACCCATTCCAGATCTCTGTCCTGTAAACTATTCTGCTGTAAGCAGCTGTTGCAGTAACATTGCATCCTTGCATGATGGCCCATTTGTAACAAGAGTACGCTCAGCAAATAAACTTCGGCTTATAAATGGTCTCACTTTTCAATGCTTCCCCATACTGAGCGAATGTTTATAGTTTTATTATGTTTTATTTGCAAGCTCTTTTTTCCAAGGATTTGGTCATTTTCAGATGTCGGGAAATGACTTTAGGCCTACCCCTTTCCCAAGGAGACTGACTGATTAGAATGACAATGAATCTTTATTCATCTCGCAGGGAGAAATTTGTCTTGGTCGTTTACAATGGCAGTAGATGTTACAAAGGTTAGGTGCACTTACGCATACACGCACAACAGACACAACAAGAAAGTTGAGATGGGTGTTTACTCAACAAGAGCTCTGTGTTAAACAGTACTGGTCCACATAAAAAAAGAATTAAGTCGTGGTTTAGAAACAAACAATTTTATGCATTTAATGTGTGGAAAAAATTCAGGAACTAAAAGTGTGTTCACAAAGAGTGTGTTTCATTATGTGCAAGTTCCCTTTATGTTCTTGCTGGACTGTATTATGTAGTACATATTTATAAGCATTGTGTTTTCAAGGGGGGGGTGATTGCCTAGAGAGAATCATGAAGAATAACTGCAGTGACCCTCTGTTTTCCACTTTTTAGACAATATATTTTCGATTAATCTTACTTAAAGTACAAATTTTATGTGTTTGATTTTCCAGATGCAGAACTTTACATCTGCGTCGGTTTTGCTGTGCGTGGTAGTTGGGGTGATATACCACAATGCCCTCTGGTGCGGCTTTGTGTTCGACGACATGTCGGCCATCGTGGAAAACAAAGATCTACGTCCGGCGACGCCCTTTTTTGATTTGTTCCTCAATGACTTCTGGGGTACACCGATGTACAAGGTAGTCTATGCTGTGTAAAATTTTTGTCCTTATACTTATATATATATATGTGAAATTTTTGTCCTTATAATGTGGAATTTTGTCCTTATCGATGATTATTATTGCTATATTTGTGTGGCTCTGAGAAATCTTGTTTGATGGTGATCATTTTCAAAACTGACATTTTTGCATTCTATATTTCAAAAGATTGATTTTTTTAAAGCATTGTATCAAGTTTTTTCATGGAAAAGCTTCATAAAGAGTGAAATATCTTTTTCTGCTGCTACAATGTTTATACACAGTGGGATTCATGGGGAAAGCAGTTACATTGGCTCTGTTTAGTACGCTGCTATAGGGACAAATACATTTTTACGATTATATGCAGCCTATTTTTTGTAGTTGTAGGCCTGACTACCTCAGAAAACGTATTCCAAAGGTATACATAACCTTTGATGCATTTCAGAGGGAAATTCACACCTCCGTTGGATATTTGGGAAGGAATAAATGAGGGTATCTACATAGTGAGACATGCATTATGTAATGAATACTGGAGGTGCTTGCTGAAAAAGGATTTTATGAAAATGTGTATGGACACGCCAGAAGCGAAATAAATGAAATTACTGCTCTGAGAAATATTCACGAGATTTAATTTGTATTTCTGTATTGTGAAATATTTGTGTCTGGCTTATGATACACAATTTGAGCTCACCTCCTAAGTACACTGTGTCTTGTGTTCCCCAGGAAAAAAGCCACAAGTCTTACCGCCCCCTGTGTGTGGCCACGTTCAGGATGAACTACGCCCTGGGAGAGTTGGACCCCACAGGCTACCATCTGCTCAACGTCGTCCTCCATGCCATCGTCTGTGTCATGTTTATGAAGTACGTTGTAAATAAATAGATAAATAGTAGTAAGATTTAAAATTTATGAGCTTCATTCTGCATTCACGGGAAGTTTATTTCAGCTTTGCAGAATGTTTACCTTTGTAGACATAAAGCGTTTAGTTTTAGTTTTTTTATGTGTATAGCACACAAATTGATAGACATTACTTTTTTTTCACAGGTATATATTTCAGGAAATTAAAAAATGTTCTGATCAGTTTAGCATGTTAATTTATATGAATGTTATACATTTTGTTTCTGAGCATGGAACACGTAATTGGTAATTGGTGATTGGTAATTGGTAATTGGTAATTGGTGAGGATTGCTGCCTTTTTTTGCTACCTGCACATTATGTTTACAATTTGCTCACACTTTGCACTCACATCTTTAATTTATTGTAACTTTTTAATTCTTTACCATCTTTTCTGGATGAATAACTTTGACCAATTTTTGAAAGCCTTGTCAGTCCTTGTGTTGCATGCCAATAATTGTTTTACCACAGTATTGAGATTGAAGAGACCAGAATGTTTTCAAAATGTAACAGCACGTTTTTTTTTTTCAAATGAGTGTCACTTTTTGCTTTTGATTTGCTTCTTTTCTACAGAGTGTGTTCTATGTTTATGTCGGATCTGATAAGTTTCTTGTCAGCTCTGCTCTTTGCCGTCCACCCGATACACACAGAAGCGGTACGTACATAGTGAACTGTGAGTGGCTGGTGGGTGCTCTGATGTTGTCTATTCTTACCTTTTTCTTCAGTGTTCTGGACATGGATGGCTGGTGCCTCTATAAATAAATCATTGATGGTCAGGTCTTCAGTGTTATTTAATCTATTGTTCTAATGTGGCTGTTATGGTGGTATCTCATCCAATGGGCGACAACTGCAGAGCTCAACTTAATACCCTTGCTTGCTGAGCTGGAGTGTAATATAGTAAAGTATAATATGATATGTTGATATTTACTTTTGGTAACAAGTGTGTGTAGGTTATTTGTATCATGACATGATGGAATCTGGCTCTCATCAATTTTTGGGCATATAGACCTATACGTATAATCTTTGGGTTGTTTTATTTGTCTTGCTTTTGATGGAAAAAAAAAAAATTCCTATCTGTCTTGAATAGAATTTGAGATATTTGCGCTTGAAGGAGGTGGGGTTTTCTTGGGTAAGTGACTGTGGAGAACTAAACCACTTTCTTTCCCTGTGAAAAAGATAAATGAGTCCCGTCGCGTGTTGATTCAAGCCGACCAAAAACTGATTTACTGAACTGGCATTAGACTTACATGTGGGGTTTGATGATTGATTTCCCTCTCTCAGGTGACTGGTGTTGTGGGTAGAGCTGAGACTCTGTCATCCATATTTTTCCTTGGAGCGTTTTTGTCTTATTCCAAAGCTACAGGATACCGGAAAAAGACTGGTAAGTAGTACCTGTGCATGAGTGCGAGTGTGCTTGTCAAAATGTGAAGGGGGGAGGGGGGTTGCTTTTGTTGTGGCCATGAAGGGCTGGTGAGTTTGGAATTGTCCTTAGACCCCAGGAAGAAAGCCACACTTCTCCTTTGTGTTGATGTGTGAAAACATTGGCATGAGCAGCTCATTTCTGCAGATGTGCTAGTTCTTATAGGATTATTGTATCCATTTCCAGCCAACTCCCATCAACTGGTCTCAACTTTGTGGTATTGAAGAGGCTTTGGGGCTGCTGGACTTTTTTCTTTTGAGATAACTTGTTCTTGTTATCATCTTTTTTTTGTTTCAGTGTCAGTTTTTTTGTCTGTCTGTCCAAATGTTTCCCTGCACCAACTGACCATTATGTTGTGGATGCTTCTCTTTTTCTTCCCTCAATTCCTAGACATTTGGTATGTTGATTTTATACACAATAAATTGATTACCAATACTGCATCTGTGTGCTCTTGTTTCATTAAAGAAAAAGAAACCTAAGTTATACTTCTCTTCGACGTATTGTCCCTCTGGAAGTTTTTATAAATGAGAAAAGAAGGATGAAGTATATAATACATGATGATTGATTAATGTTCAGCGGATTATTCATCATGTGTGAAGTTCAGGGTTGTATTTTTTAACTTTCTTTTCTTTTGTTTCAGATTGGAAGCCTCTGCTCATGACAGTTTTCCTGGTCACTGTGGCTATGCTGTGCAAAGAACAGGGAATAACTGTCATCGGCGTTTGCTGCGTGTTCGAAATCTTCGTTGTGCAGCGTGTAAGATTCCTCAACTTCATTTGTATGCTTGTCAAACTCTTGTGGCCCACTATTTCCGGGGTGCCTTGATAGTCGAAGCAGACTTTGTGCTTTTGAAGCTAGAGAGGTGAGCAGAGTAAGTCTGATTCCCTGTAAAGACTTCTCTGTTGACATCATATGACCTTATGCAGTTGCGAGCACTGTAAATCCTCTACTAAAACTAAAAAAGTGTAAGATTTCTTTTATTTGTGTACCAATTTATGTAGTATTTATGCAGCATGGTCACCTTATAAATGTGTCAGTTGTTGATGTGTGAGGAGGTTTTATGTCTTTATCGAAGCCTCTGAATTGGCATTTGTGGCCAAGTGTGATATTGATAGGGTTTTTTTGTTGTTGGTTTTTTTTTTACTTTTTAAAATCTTGTAATAATCATTTTCAAAGACTTTATTATTATATGACCTTATTGTGTTGCAAGTGCCGTAAAATACTTACTAAAACTAAAGATTTTGTTACGAATGTGAGCTCACTGTACAGGGGGGGTTTGCCTACAACTGAAGAAACCCTGGTCAGTAAAAATATAAAGTGGTTCCACGTTCTTCCAGTTGGGAAAATACATATTTACTTACTCACTTCACTCAGTTCTTTATGTGGTGAATTTTGAAATTGGAGATTGATAGGGGCTCTCGTGGCCTAGAGGTTAAGGTGTTGGCCTCTCATTCAAAGGTCCCCGGTTCGAATCCGGGTAGCGACTGAAAAATTTTCTTCTCTAAAATTGTCTCCTTTCACCTCCTTTCCTGCTCTCTAGCAATGTTCTGTTGTCTGCTTTCATTTCCACTTTCTGCCCCCACCCCCCCCCTCACCTCCTTTGCCCCCTCCTCTAGGCTCCTGACTCTTTCTGCAGCCTTTCCACTGCTACTCCTTGGCTCCTCCTTACTGCTGTCTTTCTGCCACACCCCTGATCTGCTGGTAGGAAAGATCTAAACCTAGCCTTCTCGGACAAGGGCGAAAAATCTCGGAGGGCCCGTATGCAAGTTGCGTTAAAGATCCCTCGATGGTCTAAAATCAATAAGAGTAGTCTTCGGCCGCTACCCGGGCAAAATTCAAAACTTCCTACCAACTGAAAATATTAGGTGTGTCCTGCGCGCTCATATGACCTTATGCAGTTAGTTGCGAGCGCCGTAAAACACTTTACTAAAACAAACAAAACAAGGAGATTGATATCTAGCTGCAGATGAAGAAGAAACAAAAACCACACAAGAATTGCGGTGTTGTTAGTTTGGTGATGATGAGACTTTTTGGCCTTTACTATGGTGGGAAATGTTGGCTGGAAGGTTTTTTTTGGTCAATGATTGGAATGTGTAACGTTAACACTTTGTACAGACACAGCCAGCAGTACAAAATACCCCAGCTGGTCATCCAGCCAGGAGAGTGACTATAACAGATTTCTCGGGCCTGGCACAGTGACTGGAGCAGATAATTGGTCGCTTTTAAGCACAACGGGGCTATCCCGAAAGATGTTGTTTTGAGAAAATTGAAAGTAAAGTTTTAGGACCCTTGTTCAGTTTATTTAAAGACAAGGAGAGTTTTCTCTAAAACCAAAGAAATATACACACCAATGAAACCAAACTTCTCCTATAGGAAGGGTGATGCCCACTTTTGGTGTAGGTCAAGATTTGTGGAAACCCCTGAAATCTGGGTTAACGCACTCTTCCTTAATAGCGACCAATTTTCAGCGTCGCATTATTGCACCAAGTGACTGCAAAGAGTTAATTTATCTCCCCCCCCCCTCCCTTTCAGAGCACCTTGCAGGAGCTGTGGCTCATTTTCCGCGGCCTCCTCAGTGGAAAGGGGAGTCTGCCAAACTGGCTCAAGACGTCTATCGTGAGGGCAGGCTTTCTCGTGTTCGGGACCACGTTCCTTCTGTTTGCCAGGATCAAGGTCATGGGAGCCCAGCTTCCTGTGTTTACCAAGTGAGTGAAAGATTTTTTTTGAATTGTTGGAATTGTTTTGTTTTTATTGTGTGTTTTTTCTAAGCATTTCTTCATTTTGGACAGACCAGGTGGTGTCCCTCATGTCGAATTATAACTGAAAGTGGTACTGACCCAAAAAGTCACCTTTACCCTTTGAGCCTAGGTCTCCAAGGGTGGTTGGCGGGTTATTTGGTGCGGTTTGCTCTTTCTTTCCTCTCAAACATTTATCGTCCTTTTCTCTCCTTTTTTTGTGATTGTTGCTCTCTTTTAACACCTCTAATCTTCAGCACTTATGGGACCTAATTGTGCTCCAAGTGCCCTGAAACTCTTCTCAAAACTGAGTCTACAGGTCCCGTAAACCTGAGCTCCAGTGGGTCAACAATATAAACCCCTACTCTGCCACTATCATCATTAACCCCTACTCTCCCATCGTCATCATTAACCCTTCCTTTACCACTATCTGTATTAATTAACCCCTCCTTTACCACTATCTGTATTACTTAAACCCCTCCTCTCCCACGGCCACTATTAAGCCCTCCTCTCCCACTACCACTATTAACCCCTTCTCTCCCACCTCCAGTTTTGACAACCCGGCGTCACAAGCCCCCGCCCCGGCCCGCCAGCTGACCTTCAACTACCTGCTGCCCGTCAACGCCTGGCTGCTGCTCAACCCGTCGGAGCTGTGCTGTGATTGGACGATGGGCACCCTGCCCCTGGTCACTTCCCTGCTGGACGCCCGCAATGTGGCCACGCTGCTGTTTTATGCCGGGATGGCCGGGCTGGGAATCTTCGCTATCACCCAGCAGTCGAAAAGGTCTCGCACGGTTGTTATGGTGAGTCGTGAGACGAGTGATGTTATTTATTTAACCCTCTCCGTACGCCCCGGGGTCATTTTGTACCCCCGGAGTTGTATTCTTCACATCTTAGAATACTTTTAGTACGAAGATCTCTTTGAAATTTCAGTATTTCTCAAAAAATCATTTTGACAGACTGCTATGCAATGTGTATGGATCGGATTAACGAGTAAATTTCCTCTTTGGAAAGTGGTGGCACAGAGTTCCCCACATTCATATGGATACAATAGTAAAACACGACGTACGGATAGGGTTAATAAAATATATGTTGCAAGTAGAACTGTGCTTTCCTGCTTGGTGTGGAAAAGTAGAGTTATGGCTATCTTCGTGGCTACATGCTTGTATGGCTTTTTTTTATGCATTGAATCATGTATGAATAAACATTTTGTAATTCTGTTTCATTCTTTCTTCTTTTTTGTGTTTGTTCCCAGAGTTTGTCGCTGTTGGTTCTTCCGTTCATCCCCGCGTCCAATCTGTTCTTCCCCGTGGGCTTTGTGGTGGCCGAGAGGATCCTCTACACCCCGAGTCTGGGCTTCTGCATGCTGGTCGCTCTGGGCTTCCAAGTTTTGTACGACAGAGTCAAGTGAGGGAAAATTCTTTCTTTTGTCCTTTGTCCTGTGTGTGTGTGTGTGTGTGCGCCCCCCCCCTGTCACACTCTTGTGACCCGCTATTTCCGGGGTGCCTTGATA